ACACACAGGTGTATAAAAATACAACTGCGTGAAACACACAGGCATATAAAAATGCAACTGCGTATAACACACAGGTGGATAAAAATACAACTGCGTGAAACACACAGTAGTATAAAACTTCAACTGCGTGAAACACACAGTAGTATGAAACTTCAACTGCGTGAAACACACAGTAGTATGAAACTTCAACTGCGTGAAATACACAGCAGTATGAAAATTCGGCTGCGTGAAACACACAAACTTCATGCATGCGTGGAGTGTATGGAGTGTACGGGAGTGATTCACGCAATGGTGCGAATAGTCACGGCCAATAAATATCGGTGCTTCACGTTGAAAAAAATTTCATTACAGTCCGAATGACCTTTCCTATTTCTATTCATCTTTGATTCAGACTACTGGGCTTAGCTCATCAGAAGCTGTATCTATCATCTACCTTATATTGTCCAGGGAGACAAACAAGAAAATCGTCACCTCCTCTTCCGGCTGAATGAAGATAACAGTTGGAATGTGAAAGGATTAGGCGACTCAACTTGGGGGTGGGTTTTTGACGAATATCTCGAAATGTAAGGGAGATCGCGGGTCCGGAAGTCTAAGGGAATTTTCGTGGGAACTTTTTCGAAGGGCAAGTGAGATTTATGTATAAAAAGCTTGTCGAACCCTCCAATATCTAGATTAGATCGTGAGATATTTGTTGAAAACTGACCTTCATGGAAAATTGAGTGAACGCCACTTTGGGGGAAGGTTTTGATGAGTATCAGGAGAAATTACCAAGTTCTTGGGGAGAAATTTGTCGGCCGAGAAGTGAAAATTCACGATCTCTCTTAACATGTTGAACTGATTCTACTCAAATTTCCGTGAAGAATTTTTTAGAGGACGACTAAAAGCTGAACGAATGGTTTAATATTAATTAGATTGTGAGAAATTGACTAAATTGTTGAGTTTAGTCAACGATGTAGTCAATTTCTATACGAATGCGAACTTCTTCCGTAGAACCTATTTCAGTAGCGAAGTGGTAAAACGGTACAAGTCAATTTTGACTATTGACCAGTTTTTAATGAATATCTCGGAATCTAAGGGAGATAGCAAAATTGCTGTTATAACCTGTTTTGTAGAGCCGATGGAGTGCTACACTGTTAAAAAAATTTAATTGAATTTTCCAGAAAATGACCCTGAATTCAATTTAACGGAAAAAAGTCTATGAAATTTCAAGTTTCCCTGAAAATTCAAGGAAATTCCTGATTTTTCAGTGGAAAAACCATGAAGATTCCAAAATTTCCATGAATTTTCAAGCTAAACATAACAATTCAATAAGAAATTGCTCTGAAATTTCAAAAAATTGAAAATTCAAGGACATTTTCGCTTGAATTTTCCTCATTTCCATTAATGTTTATGGAATAATTTAACTGAAATTTAAAATTTTCATGAATTTTCCACGAAAACCACGAATTTTCAATGGTAAAATTCCCTGAAATTTCAATGAAACCGTCACTTGCCTGGAAACTTTAGTGAAAATTTTTTAACAGTGTACAACAAACGTAATTACGAAAATTTCGCTATCTCCCTTAGATTCGGAAATATTCCTCAAAAACTCAACTGGAAGGTAAGTCGACTTAAACCGTTTTACCACTTTGCATAAAACTCTTTGCATAAAAATATTCTGAAATATCGAGATATTTTCTTAGGACTGATGGATCTCCTAGAATGTGAAAACGATAGGAAATTTTGATAAAGACCCTTTTTCTCTGTCGTTCCGCATATCGCATATAAAAATATCCCTCATAAAAAAATTTACGAGCTCTCTCAGATTTGGAAATAGTCTGAAACCTGATCGCCAAGTGGAATTGACTTATCCAGCTCCACCACTGCAGTATCGGAACGTGTAAATATGGTCCTTCCCTCTTGAGATTATTTCTCCTCTTTCCCCAGTTTCTTTTCCACCGGGTGGGCTGGTGATAGTGCTCGAGGGCTTGAAATAAGCGGGGAAGAGGGGTGGCAATCGGTGCCAGGGTATAACCCACGGATAAACCTTACTGCCAAGTGATAGAGCGATGAACGTTATTTTTCATGGGAAGTGGAGTTTGCCTTAACAGCTGAGTTTTTCCGAGCGAAATTGTCGTATCAGAATGTTCGAAAATGGCCTGGCCATGAGGAGGTGAAATATCGATTCCAAGCACGGGGGTAATCCATGACACTCTATCGTCGAACACCGCTGAAATCACAGTTACGTTTTGTAACGCCAGGGCACCAGCTTGAGTTTATAGCACTGTTACAAATTTTCCATTGAAATATCCGGTAAGGGTCTTGGAAAGTTCTAACAAGTAACATGTCCACTGAAATTCCAAGGAATTTTGTTATTAAAAAATTCATAATTTCACGGAAAAATTCGTAAATTATTGCGGGAAAATTAATGGAAAATTAGAAAAATCCCGTAAAAAATTCCTGGGATTCCAAGAATTTTAAAGGAATTCCCTGAAAGTTCAGGGGAATTTGGCAGCGAATATTCATTTTCGATTAAAAATTCATGCAAACTGTGGAATTTTCGTCTTCCTGTCGCTAAAAATAGGAACTTTACTTGAATTTAAATCGAATTCAAGGTGTTTTTCCGGAAAATTCAGCCAAAGTTTTATAACATTGTGGTCTGGGAGTGGAGTCGTTGGATCCGGCTTCGGAAGAAACGTCTCTAGTTTTCAGCAGAGAGTGACAGATTCTGAGAAAATCATGATTTCAAGGTGCATTGCCATTACAACAAGATAATAAATCCGTCAATAAATTTGAGAAAACTGAACAGAAACACCAAACGTGCGGTCAAGTCATCAGTTACTACTGCTGATTATAAACTATCATTTACAGTTATAACTCCAAGATAGAATATTCCCACTTGAAATATTCTCCAAGAAGGGCAGCAACTTGAGTTTATAGTAGTGTTAAAAATTTTCCACTGAAATTCCAAGGAATTCTGTTATTGAAAATTCATAATTTCATGGAAAAATTCATAAATTATTGCGGAAAAATTAATTAAAAATTAGGAAAATCCCTTCAAAAATTCCTGGGATTCCAAGAATTTCAAAGGAATTCCCTGAAAATTCCAGGGAATTTGGCAGCGAATATTCATTTTCGATTAAAAATTCATGTAAACTGTAGAATTTTCGTCTTCCTGTCGCTAAAAATAGGAACTCTACTTGAATTTTCAGACAGACTTGAAATTCCATTGACTTTCTCCACTTAAATCGAATTCAAGGTTTTTTTCCGGAAAATTTAGCCAAATTTTTACAACATTTTGGTCTGAGGGTGGAGTTATTGGATTCAGCTTCGGAAAAGACATCTCTAGTTTTCAAGAAAGAGTGACAGATTCTGAGGAAATCATGGTTTTAAGGCTAAACCAGGATTAAGGTGTTTTGCCATTACAACAAGATGATAAATCCGTCAATAAATTGACAAAACTGAACAGAAATACCAAACGTGCGGTCAAGTCATCAGTTACTACTCCTGATCATAAACTGTATCATTTACAGTAAAAACTCCAAGATAGAATATTTTCAAGGAGTCGCGGGTGTGGGGGGACTGGTAGGGGAATATTCCTAGTTGAAATTTAATTTTTCGAAGGTAATTCCACTTTGGAAAGTTTACTCTGCCTTCCATCAAATTGAGTACAATTCAGAAAATCTCTCTAGAATGAATAAAAATTCCGAGACTTTTGCCGTTCTAGATAAAATAAAATTCACAGATGGGGAAGGGTGAGGGACAGGGGAAATGTTCGGCAGAGGACGAAAATATGAGTGCGTCGAAGGAGTAAAAAATGAGAGATATGAGATGTGATGGTAGGAATCACGGGGCTTTCAATAGAGTCTTTGCAGATCAATCGATCATTTATGGATAATGACTGCATTTGTCTCTCTCCAATGTACCTGAGCGCTGTCTTCCATTGCCCCTCCCTCTCTTCTTTAACTGGAAAAATTGAGGAGGATATAGAAGAGGTCTTGAGGGATAAAAAGAGTGGCTCAGAAAGAATTGGGATTTTTTCCCCAGTTACTCTCCTCTCTCACGTGCCATTCCACTTGTCTGAGGGGCTTGGGAAATTGTAGGGAAATCACCGTGGAACATCATCTCCACACGGTTATTACATTCTCAAGGGCCATTAGCTGAATGAGAATGAAATACTTGAGGGAGTGCCAAGACCGTTGAAATGATAGAATTTTAAGATTTAACGATGAGTGAAATTCGAGCATTTACCTTTCACACTGGCGCAACGTCCACGACGCAATGATCCACAGTGATACCATGAAAACGAGGAGCACAGTGCCCGGACAGATGGTCATGAGAGTCTTTAAAACGAATCTGGTGTTAAAGTTTATGCGATTCAAGGCCCCTATGCTCCTCGATGACGCATCTGTGAATAATTTTGAGTGGAGGAGCATCACACGGCAGATTAAGTACAAGCGTAGAAACATTGGCAATGAGAGGGTTACGTCGTAGGGCACCCATTGGGAGCCCATATCACCACCCTTGTTGGCCAATTTGGTCGTCCATAGGAAGTAGTATTCACCGGGTATTGGATGTACTGCGCATATCCCCAACTCCATGGATATTTGGGATATTCGTTGCCAAGTCATTGCGATTCGCCAATCGTCGGCGCAGTTATCAATCATGAACAACTGAAACAGGTTAATGGGAGATTCAATTATTAGTTACAGCTGTGGATGATAGGTTCACGGAGAAAATAAAATGGTAAAGGTTACTATGTATAGTAAACTTTACCAAAGTTTTGGAAATATTACTGTGGACCTGGTACAGGGAGAGAAATTTTTGGTAAAATTATGCTACCGTTCTGTAAAAGTCTATCATGAGTCATCGATTCCTCATTTCTATCCCGAAATTTAGTAAAAATTGATATGGGATGATCAAATTTTATTCTACGTTAGAGAAATTTTATCCTGATAAAAATAAAAATTACTGTGCCGGTAGAGTAAATATTACTGCACCGGTCGGGTCAAATTTACCAACCGTTCTAGAATTTTCGTTGTTATCTACATAAAAATTATTGGACTGCAAGGATAAATTTGATTATGTCTTAGGATAAAATTTCTCTAACGTAGAATGAAATTTCATCATCATATATTAATTTTTACTAAATTTCGTGATTAAAATGAGGAAACGATGACTCATGATATACTTTTATAGAACGGTAGGATAATTTTTATCAAAAATTTCTCTCCGTGTAGTGGCTAGCATGGAACGCTTACATAGTAAGCGTCGCTGTCAACATACTATAATAGTACATAGTATGTTACATAGTCAGCTCTATTAACATGACTATGTAATAGTCACTCTATTAACATGACTATGTAACTATGCTGTATGCTGACAGGTACATCGTAAGCTTTACTATGTTACATAATCAGCTCTATTATGTTATATAGGAAACTTCACTATGCAAGCTTACTATATTAAGGGGAGTCTACTGTGAGTTTTAAAAGTTGTGGGTTATTGGAGTGAAACTTTTCGTACGTTGACGATCGGTTATATAGATCTGAAAACGAATAATTAGTTGAAAAAAATTTTTTTTTTATTGCTCGTTTGCCCGAAAACGCTTAAAATACCGAAAACAATCCAGGGCCTCCTATTTTTGAGCTACAAAGGATTTTTTTTTTCAAAATTTTCGGAAAAATATGTGGAATAATAATTACGAGCTATTTTTTTTTCAATTCGCCTCTTACATGGGTAAATTTGCTTTTTGTTTCCGAATGGAAGCATTTTTTGTATTTTTTTACACAAATAGTGAATTGTTTTGTATGCAGAAAACCAAAATCAGTTGCGTAGGAGTTAGAATTCCAAAAAACTGGCTCGTAATTGTTGTTCCACACATTGTTGTTCCACTCAAAAATTGGAGGCCCTGGACTGTTTTAAGCATTTTAAGCGTTTTCGGGCAAACGAACAATGAAAAAATTTTTGTTTTGCACTAATTATTCGTTTTCAGACCTATATAATCGATTTTCAACGTATAAAAAGTCTCACTCCAATAACCCACGAATTTTAAAACTCATAGTAGTCTCCCCTTAACATAGTAACGCTTACTATGTTACGTAAAATGTCCTATAGCACATCATGAAATTATTCCAAATAATTGAATACCATCAAGGTATAAAACAGGAGTAGATCAATGTTAGACACAGAAATATCATTCATTCAAGGACGAAAATTTTCTTGTTGTAAGAACCATCGAAAAAAGAAATTATGTTTTTGAATGAATTAATGGATTTATTGAGAGACCTCCTAATAAAGCCCATTAATACTTAAATTAAATTTCCAGTTGCAAAACAAATTAAACAAATACTTTCTTCATACAAGTAAAGACTTTATTAGTTACAAATGCGATCATTGTTTAGATGGCGAAGGAAAAGAATTATTGATGTATAATAATTCTCTGGTTGAATCAAATAAATTGTTTATTCATTGCTAATTAATTATCTGCTTCTAATGAATGCACTGTTTATTCCATATAATTAAAGCTTTATTATTTAGATAAATATATAAATTTCGAACAAAAATATTGTAGAATTTAATAGAAAAATTTTAAATGACGAGTTGAATTTGTTCAATTTTTTTACAGAGATTTTTTTTTAAGCTTTAAGCGTCTTGAGTTTATGAACGCATCAAGAGACAATCGCAAATTTCAACCGGTTATTTTAGAAATACTTCCTCTGTTCATACCGCCATTTCTATGAACATGGTAGGCATTCCTATGTAACATAGGATATAGTAAGCATTACCGTGGGACATAGTAAGGATTACTATGTAGAGAAAATTGAAAACCCTTTTACTACGTTACCACAGTAATCTCTCCTATGGTCATGGTAATGTTTACTATTTAATTCTCTCCGTGTTGGGGTAAATGTTCTCTCATAATTTTGGAATGATTTTCTGTGGAAGGAAAAACTATTGTATTTTCTCATCCGAAAATTCCTTATTGCTAATGTTGGCCGAAACTTGTGTATTTTTCCTGTTCACCCATCCACAGAATATTCAAAATGAAAATAAAAATGCCATAAGGGATACCGCATTCGGCAATGCTCAAAGTCCAAATGCTCAGCGAGCATTCAGACGTGAGACGCTAAAGGCTGACTTACGTCGAAAACTTTTCGAATAATTCTCATCCTCGCCCCTGCCCCACCATTCTTACTCTTCCAAAGCGTCCCTCCCCTTTCAACATTAAAAAATACATATATAACCCCCCTGGGAGTATGGAATTTAGTAAAAGCATAAAACTCGTAAAATTTCACCATGAGAAAACCGTTCATTTCATCCTTTACTCTTTTTACTCAGTTAAGCTAAAAACCACCATTCTCCCAAGGCGCTCTTTGTTCGTCTCACTTCAAAGTTTTCCAGTGCCCTCTTTGGCTCACTCTGACTCTCCCCAACATCCCCTGGCTTTTCTCCCGCCCATTCTCTCAGCAGCGTCATCCGATGGAACTTTTCATCCTCGTATACCTCCCCTGCACCCCGATAAGACGCACACGGCACTCTCGCGCCAAAAAGGAAATAGAAACAAGTAAACTCGGTGTACTTTTACCCGCTTCTCCATGACTTTGGGTATTTTCTCAGCTGCAGAATGACCGTGTTGGTCGTTATCGTTGGAAATAATATAAATCATAATGTCACCTCGGGTGGATACTTCATCGCAGTGTGGAAGGACCTGGTGATTGTGGTGATTTACTCGTTAAGTTTACTTCTCCGGGGGTTTCTAACTGGACTTTGTTCTCATTTTTCATGACTTTCAATGTATTTGAGATGTGAAAGAATACGGGTGAGCGAATGGAGAGAACTCTGAAGGGAGGATATCATTTTGACAATTGTAAAGTTAATTCGTAAATTAATAATAGTAATAGTATAGTGGGAGTTGATCCAAAACTAGAGAGAAAATGAAAATGCTCTAATGTAGAATGATTTAATTGAATGCTACACTGTTAAACATTTTCGTCTGAATTTTCCGTGTCAAACCCCGAAATTTTTATCATGTTTAATTTATACTGAAGTTTTAGGAAAGCTTGTCATTGAAAAATCAAATATTCCGTTGATTTTCAGCTCGAATGATCTGAAAATCAATAGAATACTTGATTTTTCAGTGTAATTATTCCGTGAAAATTCATAAAAATAGGAAAATTCAGGGAAACAAGTAAATTTCATGTCATTTTGTTATTGAATATTCATGTTCCATTGTGAATTCAATCAAGTTGTGAAATTTCCATCGAACTCCTACTGAAAAATCAGGAATTTCCTTGAATTGCACCTAAAACTTGAAATTTCATAACCATTTTTTACTTAAATCTAAAGGAAATTTCACAAAATTTCTAACAGTGTAATTATTCCGTGAAAATTCGGAAAAATCCGGGAAAAATTGAAAATTCATGTCATTTTGTTTCTAAATATTCATGTTCCATTGAACATTCAATCAAGTTATGAAATTTCCGTCTCACAGCCACTGAAAACACATGAATTTCCTTGAATTCTACCTAACACTTGAAATTTCATAACTATTTTTCACCTAAATCTAAATGAAATTTTTAACAGTGTAATTATTCCGTGAAAATTCGGAAAAATCAGGGAAAAATTGAAAATTCATGTCATTTTGTTTCTAAATATTCATGTTCCATTGAGCATTCAATCAAGTTGTGAAATTTCCGTCTCACAGCCACTGGAAACACATGAATTTCCTTAAATTCTACCTAAAACGTGAAATTTTCTTAACCATTTTTCCCCTTAATCGAATTCAATGTCACTCTCCCGAGAATTACTACCACATTTCCATGAAATTTTTGAAAAATTTCTAACAGTGTATAAACGACTCACTGATACTATTTCTCCTGCAATGCTAGATCTCCATCCCACCACCTTATTGGTATGTATTTTCCTATATTATGTATATAAGTGTAAAATTGCTTCTTGAAATATCCTGCAATTATTCGACCCTATAATTAGCCTCGGCTGTTGGATCTCTATTAGATAAATAACAAATAGCAAACTCGACTTCCTGTTCGTCTTCAGTTTGACTTGTTTCCTCATTCTTCGCGGCCTTCAATATTCCTCCAATGCGGAACCATCCCCATCCTCCTTAATACATTAACATCCCTTCCTTTATGCCTTCCCCCCGCACATCCAGCAGAAGGAGTGAACCCCCTAGGGCAAGCATGAAACGGAGAAGTTGAGTGGAATTGACCATAACTTCTTCATTGATATTCTTTATGATGCTTCTACCAGAAGAGAGTTATGTGAGTTATCTCCTTGACTGAAAGTTTTCCGTAGTTGTGTACAATAACTTTCGGGTCGGATGAGCCATCTAATTCTGAGAGAGAGAGACACAGCCGTTAAGTGTTCATTGACATGATCAGAGACAAAGGAGCCAGAAAGCTACAGAAATGATCCTGTCGATTCGTTTTTCCATCGTCCCCGAGACGATGGTCTTTCATTTACGGAGGTGAACAAACACAGAGAAGAAAACATTTCACTTTTCAGAGAATTATCCCTCATTTTTGGGGAGCTTTGACTCAAACTCAAGCTGCCCTTAACTCTTAAGTGGTCGCGTTTTTCTAGCATCTCCTCATTCTACAGTGGCACCCTATTGCACTGAGAGAAAAATCTGAAGTTCGATTTACCCCAA